GAGCCGGGAGCCGGGATCGCAGCCGCTCATGGAGTCGGTCCCGAGCCGCTCCGAGAGTGCTGGCGGTGCTGCAGCGGCAGCGCTGGAGGCGGAGAGTCGCCGGGCTGCAGCTGTACTGGACCCGGCCATGGGCCTGCTCCTGAGGCATCGGCGGGGCCGTGCAGCCGATGGACCGCGCGTTTGAGGATTTTAAGCACTTAATCTCTCTGTTTATTCTTACCCGATTGTTCTTTTTCCCACTTCCCCACGGAAGTAAAATCGTAGCACCAAGCCTCTCAGAGTTCAAGGAGCGTTTGGACAATGTTTTCAGGCTCATCGTGTGACCATGGCGTGTCTGTGCAGGGCCAGGATGGACTCGATGGGTCCCTTCCAACTCAGACTATTCTGTGACTTTTTCTGTAGTAGATCTTACCTACTGTGATAGATGGAGCAAGTCCAGAGGAGGCCATAAAGTTGATAAGAGGACTGGAGCCCTTCCTCTACAGCGAGAAGCTGAGAAAGGTGTGGCTGTTCAGCCTGGAGAAGAGAAGGTTGTGTGGAGACCTCGTGGCAATCTTCCAGTGTCTGAGGGGCCTACTGGGAAGCCAGAAAGGCACTCTGTCTCAGGAACTGTACTGAAAGGACAAGGAGGAATGGGTGCAAACTGAAAGATGGGAAATTTATTTAAGGTATTAGGAATAAATTCCTTACTGTGAGGGTAGTGAGGCACTAGAATAGGTTGCTCAGGGAGGTTGTGGGTGCCCCAGCCTGGCAGAGTTCAATGCCAGGTTGGATAAGTCCTTGATCAACCTTTTCCAGTGGGAGGTATATTTGCCCGTGGCACAGCAGATTTGGACTAGATAATATTTAAGATCCTGTCCAACCCTTCATACTCTATAATTCTGTGATTTTATACCATGATCACAGGAGGATGAGGAGCACCTGTTGCCATCAGTGACACCTCTTGCATACCAAAGCATCATTCTGGATTGGTTTTTATCATCTCAGTAGGTGCGAGTTCACAGTGAATTCCACCTCTGCTCTTCAAAGAACATCTCCCACAATTCTGTCGCTTTGCAAATCCCCATCTGGATGTCAACTCCTACAACTGTAGGAGTGCAGGGGAAGAATCAACACTCGTGGCAGGGAACATCATAATTCCCAAGGAGGATATGTATCCTATTGTGCTACACACTAGCAGTTGTCAAAGCTGGGCTGTTCTATGGCAAGATGTACAACTGCAGCGAACATCTCAGAGCGGTGTTTTGGCATCTTGGGGTGAGAGCTGATACGGTGTGGTTTTAGCGGCAGTTTCAGTAGTGCCACGTTCTGGCCGTGCTGCCTTGTGGCCACCAGATGTCATGCAGCGGCCACGGCTGCTGAAGGAGTCTTCGAGAATTCGGGAACTAACTGCAATTATTACAGATTTTCGGTGGGGTTTACCCAAAGACTGGCATTTTAATAAGTTTGTGTGTTACTGAGCCAACAGTATGATTTGCAGAACTCTAGTATTTTTTCAGTCATCTGACGGATTACAGAAGTCTGGAAGGCTCATTTAAATTTTTTTCCCAGTTTAAATGAGATCATGATGATAATCTTATGTTTTTGGTAAATCATAATATTCCAGACATGAGGCCTAATAAAAAAAATTATCTCATTTGCTAGTGTTCTGTAAGCAAAAATTAAGCTGTGGCGCTTTTTTGACTTGGGACATACACAAGGAAGCTTGCCTTGCTTTCTCTCTGAAGTTTTTTGTGACACATTGGTTTAAAAAGGAGGCAAACTGCTGTAAACTTGGAGAAATTTGGTATGGCCTACCCAAAGGATAGGGAAAGAAGGCACAGAGCACCTGTAATATTGCAAGGGCTTTATGCTCTGAAAGGACCAGTTCCCTTTCACTCTATGGGCAACTACACTCACCTAGCACATGTTGGGTATGATGGTGGAAGGGGAGAGGTTCCTCCAGAAGTATTGTCTGTGCACTCACAACAGTTTTAACTTGTGTGGGTGGTGTGGAAATTATTGTCTTGCAGACCTGGAATGGCAGGAGATGTGCACAGAACTGATCCCACAGTTACAGAGACATCCATGCCACAAGCACTGCACATTTACTAGAGGCTTTTCTGTCGGTTTCTGCAAGGAACCCGCCTTAACGTTGTTACAGGTCTGCTGAAACCAGTCTCAGGAGAATGCACTGGCCAGTGGAGCTGCTGTGAGATGCCAGCACCACTAGAAAAACAAACAGAAAAACCTGACTGAACAGACAAAAAAATAATATTTTTACAAAGATTTTTAACTCATTACGAGATTTGCAAGCTTTCAGAAAGCTTTGCACATATGGATATCCCTACAGGAAATCAAGGAGAACCACAGGGTTAGTCTTTGCCCTTTCCTCCTCTGAACTCAGAGCTCTCCTATAGAAAAAGGTGGTTTTGGTAGGATCTGTAGGATGAAGGGTTCGACTTATCATTATAGTAGCATCACTAAAAGTAATGCCAGGTCATTTCTATTCTCACAGGCAGGCGGCAGTCTGCCAGCTATTGTCAGTGATACTGTTAGGATGTGACTCCTTGATGCTGCCTGTGCTCACCTCCTGAGGTCTTACTTAACCCTCACTGCTACAGCTCTTGAAGCACAACATTGGCCAGCTAGACTGTGCCATCAGCATTCTGTTGATTACTTATGACAATTACCAAGTAGATTAAACATTTACTTTTGCATTTTTCTCTTGTGTATAATATAAGGAACATAGGCACCTGACTCAAGCATATGGATTCCACTTCATAGGCTGAAAAATTAATTCCATCCAGCACCCAAGTCTTTCGTTGGATCTAGATACAAGAAGCCAGGTAGAGAATAAAACTCAGTCAAGTTATAAAGTGAGATAACTTACTGTTTAAATTACCTTCCTATTTAAACATCCTGCTGGTGTAGTTGCCAGACACAGATACATCAAGATACTTTGCTCATGTGAGATCTTAAAGGCAGTAAATCTGTAGGTGAATGAGGCTCTGCTACTGAGACAAAGTTGGTTCTAGATAAGCACATGAAATATGTGATTACTGAACAAATAAACTGAACCTGAAGTGAATGCCGGCTTTTCTGTTATTATGAATACAAATAAAAAATTCAAATCTAAAGATTAAAAATAATTGGCAGAATGTAATGTCAAAATAAATACACTAAAAAGGAAATTACCTCTTTGACATATTGTTTTCCACACTGCTATCTAATGCTTTGAGTTTCACCATCACTTTGCACAATTGACTCATCTAAATTGGAAGGGGAAGAGCTCAACAAACATATTTCCAATTCCAAGGATCCTCGAGCAGTATTCCCTCATTTTAAATGTCATCATCAGACAACACACAGTGAGTCATTGCCTAATGGCAGCTGAATCAAAATACCTGTTATTGAGTACATATGGAATGTGAAGATGCTTGTAAAGAACAAGATTATAATTAAAGATGCATTAATTCTAATAAAAAGAAGAGAAATGGAACTGATGTTTTACATATTTGTGGGCAGTTATGCTTTTGTGTAATGGTAGTGCAGATGAAGATTTGTAAGCAGAATCAGTGCATTATTTACGTCGGAAGGGACCTCTGGAGTTCTTCCCTGAAATCTAGGCCAACAGCCCTTCTCAAAGCAAGAGTAACTACAAGTTAGTATAACTTGTATATAGACTAACTATAAGTTACTCTTCCAGCTACAAGTTGGAACATATTGGTAAAGGTAAATCATGCCAGAATTTGATTGCTGAAAGGTTACCTGAAATAAAACATTAAATACTATTTCCCTCTGTATTTTGCTAGAACTGGAATTACTGATATTCATTGCTTTGATCACATGGAATGAATTTAATGGTGCTTTCGTAGAATTGGTATCTTATGTCACCTACACATACCACAAAGTAAGGATAGTCTGTAAGTATATGATGTATATATTTATGTAAGTTATACCTATATGGATGTATAACAAATAGCCTTGGCAGATGGACAAAATATTCCATTTATTCAGTCCTGGCTCCTCGTCTGTAAAACCCAGACTCCATTAAATCATTGGCAAAACATGCAGATATGTGAAACTACCTGTTCCAGTGTTGTTTCATTAGCAATAGTGGTCAATAGTGAGCAATCACTATTGCTGCTTTCCCTTCACTTCCCTAACAGTTTTCAATAGAAAGCAAAATGTACTTTAATTTTCTAGATATTGTCTTTTGAGTGTGTAAACAAAACTGGATCGTGAGAATCATTAATGTACACCTTTTAACATGCAACAGTGAGTAAGAGTCAAATGAAACTCATAAAGCTGCTATTTTTATCTAGCTAAATAGTTCGTTGTTGCCTACTCCAAGTGAAGATTTAATTTGATTAATTAGATGAGAAGCTGATTCATTCATCTGAGAACTTCCTGGAAATATTACAAGATAGCACTTAATGTTTTCCAGATACAATTTTAACTTATAAGTCTGTGGAAGTAAAAAAATCAGTCTTATTGGGATGTAATTCTCCTTTCATGCTCTCCTCACCTACTAATATTTGTCTTCTGTAACAGTGAATATGTTTGGAAATATTCTAGACTGGTTTTAAACTCTTTTTTGTCTAAATAACTGAGGTATTCTGACAACTGTCCTAGTTTTCCCTCACAGCTGTTAACTCTTTTTTCCTTTGCTGATTTCACAGAATCACAGAATGATTTGCAGTGGAAAGGGCCCTTGAAGATAATCTAGTTCCAACCCTCATTTCCTATTTTAGTCCTACCTTAAAATTCCTAAGTCATATTTCAGACTATCAAAAAAATCCTTTATTGCTAAACCAAGTGACTGGACATTAGGAAATCCCAGTTCTAGGTCTGCTGCTTATTATTTACCTTGAACAAAATTTCTTG